GCTGCTGCTGCTGCGTACACCCCCAGCCCAGCAGCAGCAGCAGCAGACAGCAGCAGCCTGCAGCAGGAGCTCATGAGGTCCCACGCAGAAAATGCGGCGCTCAAGGCGCAGCTAGCAGCAAACGCAGCCCCTGCAGCCTTTGTAAACCCTAAACCCTAAACCCTAAACCCTAATTGCTCAACCCTTAAATCTAACCGCGAGCTGAACTGCTCAAGCCCTTCCTCCACATGATCGTTTGCCACGCTTGGTGCCTAGGGTTTAGGGTTTAGGGTTCGCATTTGGGGTTGAGGCGTCAGGGTTTAGGGTTTAGGGTTTAGGGTTTGGGCTTCACGCTCAATCTTCTGCTCGCCGCAGTCCAACGGGGGCTCCTCCAGCTGCATTAGGCTTTAGGGTTTAGGGTTTAGGGTTTAGGGTTTGCATGCAGAGCGGCGGTCCTATCGATCGGGAGTTGGCTGAAGAAGAGCTGCAGCAGCAGCGAGGGTTTAGAGAGCTGCAAGAAACAGCAGCACAACTTTCTGCTCAAGTGGAGGCTTTGAAGGAAGAAAATGATAATGTAAACGAGGGTTTAGGGTTTAGGGTTTAGGGTTTAGGGTTTATGTTCAGGGGCAAGGGTGTTTACCCTTGCCCCTGAACATAAACCAAGGGTCGCCTTCCAGCGATTCAAGTGCAGAACTCCAAAACAAAAGCAACGGGGCACGGATGTAGGGTTTAGGGTTTAGGGTTTAGGGTTTAGGGTTTAGGGTTTAGCGTTCGGGATTTTAACTATTCTGCAGCTTCAAATGACGATCGTCAATATGGAGGAAGCAGCGAAGAAAGGCAAGCAGCGGATGTGGTTGAGGGTTGAGGGTCTAGGGTTCAGAGCCTAGGGTTTAGGGTTTAGGGCCTGGGGTTTAGGGTTTAGGGTTTAGGGTTTGCAGGCACGCCAGGGGGAAAACCTGCTGCTGGCGCTGGTGGAGGAGCAGCTGCTCAAATGCTGCAGCAGGCAAAAGAGAAGAACAGACAAGTAAAAACCCTAAACCCCAAACCCTAAACCCTAAATCCCAAACCCTAAACCCTAAACCCTAATCCTAGGCTGGGCTAACAGCAACTGGGAAGGCCAGCCAGCCTTGAGCGAGCTGTTGCTTTGAAAAACAATTAAATCCATTTTTAAAGAAGCAATTTAAATATTTTTTATTTTTTATTTTTAAATTGATTTATTTTTATTTTTGGAACTTTTTAATTAAATTCAATTTATATTTGAGAAATAAATGCTTTCAAAGGTGGCGCACCTCAAGGCAGTGCCAAGGC